TTAAGCTTAAAACTAACAAAGCCACAACCCACCTATCACAACACAAAAAGACCTGGTTCAATTTTTTCTAGAAGATGTTTGCTGCACTTAAAATTCACATCTCATGTTCTTCCAGTGTAGATATTGTCTAAGGCAAGATGGAGACTATTAAGCAAGTCTGCTATAAAGGGCCAGGGAAGGGAGGGGAAAAAAAACCCACAAGCATTACAGGTCAAGAACTATTGTCTTGCACACCAACTTTTCCATATTGCCATGAATTTAGTGATTGCTGATTTAGACTAGTTTGTGTATGTAACACGCTAGATGAAGGAAAACACCCAGTCTTTTACTATAAAAATACAGACATGAGACAGCTCAAGAGCAATTTTATGAATGGCAAATCCAGACAAAAATTTCGGTTCAAGCAGCAAATGATACACCTACTCATTTTTTTTCCCCCCACTGTAGTAAAAGGACTTAGTTTATTTATGGCTAAAAAGCATTCAGTGACTCAACAGGTTAAATATTTAATTAATTCTATTTGATAACCTGATTACAGCAGAGAATTTGCTAAGAAGCAGCAGCAGAAGAGTACAATGGGCCAGCTGGGAAACATGGGACTGCTCTACTAAAGCGTTCTTCAGCATGAAATGGGAAAGCACTGCTTAAACTACAATTCATCTAGAGAGGACAGTAATTCAGTCAGCATACAATGCTAGAAACCAATTCTATTTCACAGTTACCAATTTCTCCAAGTCATCAATCCGTCATTTCTTGTTTGAAACAGTGGGAAGAACCTTAGTTTTAAAGGCAACGCAAACATCCAGGTGTCTAACAGAACAGTAACTAGAACGGTGATTCAGCACGTTAGGTGTGCATGGTCCCACTATTGTGCTCTGTCTGCAAGAACCAGGGACAACTAACAGTGTGCCTCACAATCAGTCTCAATTTCTGACAATAATTAGAAAAAAAGTACCTTTCTTGCAGTGGAATTTTGCATTCAATACAACATACCTTGCTACTGAATAAATTCAAATAAAACTTTCTTTAAAAGCAGCAGGAGCTAAAAAGTGCAGCGCTTAATATATTTATTCTTAATTGATACTTCATTGAGCTATTTAGATGATAACATCTTCATAACATTCTCAAAAGTCAATATTTGGGAATTTAGAGAGCTTGACCTTCTGATTTCTCCAACAAGAAACCACAAAAGAGAGAACAGAGGTCAAAAAAGAAAAATTACACGCCCCAAGTATTTTAGTCTTAAACCACAGAAATTAAAGGGAGAAATGTTTCTGCTGCTTTTTAAATGCTAGCTTAGGATCTTTGTTTTATGGTGACTTGAGAGTATATATACACCAAAAAAATTTTGTAAAGTGTTCTTGCAGTTAATTAATAGCATTTTCCTTTAAAAAGGGTTCCCTCCCTTTTCAACTAAATTAGTGATTGCATTAACAACAAGCTGCAGTAAGTCTTGTTCTCAGGCAGGCCATAGCATGGTGGTGTGAATCGTTCCTTTCCAGTCATCAGTTGCTTGATTTTCTAGCATTTCATCACAAGGATGGCTACGGTTTGCAGCGCTGGACAAAGCGTGGATAGAGACAGACATCTCTGATATGGTGCCTGTTCAGAATCCAGGTCAGGAATCGTTCTAACCCCAAACCATATCCACCATGAGGACAGGTGCCATATTTCCTCTGTGAAATTAAAAGTAGAAAGAAGATACTAAACATGCAATTATCTAAATAACAAGCTAAATAACACCAGCAGGAAAAAAAAAAACAGAAAAATCATTTTCTGAATGAATGATGGGGAAACTGGATTATGGTCTTCCCAGGCAAGATATTTCTGTTCAGTTTCTGAGGGGGAAAGACTAGAAAAGGAAGCTGAAAAAGAAGTCTTAATGACTCTTTTTCAATCTCATCCTTCTCTCCTCCTGTTAAACTAGGTAGAACTATTCAAATTTGAAGAGACCGACCTGTCTTTATCTAATGACAAGGGCCTCACAAAGGCAGTGAGTGCATTGCAGAAGGCATTACAAGAGGCACATACCAGCATAAGCCTAATGTCTAATGAAGGTGATCTGGAAGGGCAGGGTGCACTGCAGCAAACAAAAGCAATTTCAACAGAACAGAAGCTGTTACTCCATTTTGCAAATGGCTAAACAATCATCTACTTCTGGCCATAAAACTGATTCCAATTTAGACAGCATCATTTTAAAAGGAGTTTAAAAAAATTCAGATACCACGTTCCCCGACAAGCAGCACGTGGACTATTTTACGCACCTGATCAGTGTACCAGTAGTACGGTGTGGGATCGATGCCCTCTCTCTTATAGCCTTCTATTAGCTCATCACTGTCCCAGATACGCATAGAGCCTCCAACAATCTCACCAACGTTAGGCATCAACACATCAACCTACAGCACACAACATGAGATCAAGCTAGCATAAATAAGCTGTCTACAGAAGGTGGAGGAAAAATAGCCCAAACTCAAAAGCATATTTCCGTAACACTTTTTACCATATAATTTTAACTCTCTATGAGGGAGGAAGGGAAGGCAGCTCCTATTTAACTCAACTTATAGACAGAAGAAATCAACTGACCCAGGTTCTCTAATTTTATCTCCAATACCCCTGACAATACTGAACTACAAAAATGCAAGAACAGTAGCATTGCTGAGAACAACGTCCACTCCTCCTGGCTGCCAAACAGCTAGTTTTCAGACAGACTTCGAGAACAGTCAGAGGAGTATTGTCTTTAGATTATTTACGAGCACTTTAGAGTTGCTTTGCTTATTTCTTTTAGCACCAACAAGCCATGCTAACAGACTCCCAAAACGAAATTTGATAAGAATTCTTCAAGTTTTTGCTGTAATTCTCATTCATTTTATGCTCATTCACACAGACGTTCTCATTCTGTTTAGGGGCCTGTAACACTAGGTAAAACACCAACTTACAGATTCCGTAAGCCGGGAATCCTCAGAACAACGCAGCATATAAAAGGACTTTATCTCTGCAGGAAATCGACACAACAGGATTGGCTCATTAATGGTGTCCGTCATTAATCTCTCAGGAGCTTCAGGAATATCCTATGATTAAAGACTTTATTATGCAAAACCAAGTCCCGCAACATATCAGGCAAGAAAGAAACAAAGATAGTTTCAGAGCACTCATACCCACACATTCACCCATTGTACCTAAATTTTGATAACAACCTTATCTTAGAACTCAAGAAACTTTATATAAATAATCATCCCAATGTGTCAGACAAAAAGCTGAGGGGAAGAAACCTAACCTGGAGGGAGATGACTAGTAAACACTGAGGAGCCTCCATTCCTTCCTCCCCAAAACTGTTTTCTGCAAACCTTAAAACTAAGAAGTTTAAGTGCTTCCTTGTTATGCATACAGGCTTACTTATTAAATTCAACTGACCACTTACAGCCATGAGAGTATTTTGTTTTTAAAATTTTCTGACTGAAATTTGATAAACTGTGAAACATCTAGCAAAGTATTTAATCAGAAATTTCATTTTGACCAAATCAGCAGCTTTAGTGTTTAAGAGAGGGGAGGTGGGAAGGATGACGCCACAGTTACACAGATAAGACACAAAACACCAGTGATGATGTAACCATGGCTTGTTAAAACAAACATTGTGTGTTCACCTAAAAAACCTCCTCCTATCCCCCAAAGGTTTAACTCTTTCAGCCAATGGTAACACACATTTCTTAGACTCTGAGTTAAAGTCAGAATATTAGAGGGTTTTTAAAAAAAGAAAAAGAAAAACCACAGTCACACCTGCTAGTTACTTGTTTTTAATCCAGCCAAACACTGCATTGCAGCACTGACTTGTTGTACGCAGCAAGGAAAGGGTAAGGAAGGAATAGGAACATAATCCTTCTCACAAAGAAAGCATCCATCTGAAACAGGGTGGGGAGAGGAGAGCAGAATCCTTATTTCCCTATGGAAAAGCCTTCAAACTGCATTGAATGTAGGGCTCCTTCTCTTCATCTCCCTAATCCTTTCATACAGACGGGAAAAAAAACAGCAGAAAAAATACAAAACAAAAAAAAAAGCACAGAGATTTTGGGCAATCAGTTTTTCTTCAGACTTTACTCTGTAGGTTTTAAAGTTAAGAAAATTATATATTCTCTCCCTACCAACCCTGCTTCTCTTAAATCCTTTTATGACTATGGTGACACCAAGTCCTACTGAGCTCCTTCAAGGCATTCTGCCTTACATAGTGGCAAAAAAGTGAGGCAGGGAACAGATGGACAGATGACAAAAGAGATTTCTATGCCAGTGTTCAAAGATATTGCATGAAAACCCAAGCCCTGCTTACATCCCCCCAGTGCAACTGCAATACAGCATCACTACATCTCCCAGCACAGTCCAGGCCTGAGGTTTACAGCAAAATCCACTTTGACTTAAATGGGACTAGAATTTCACTCATCAGTATCACTCAAAACAGAACAGATTCCACACAGCAACAAGTCCAGTAGATTTATGGCTCAAACACATTGTTCTTCCAGTCACTGACTATTGCTATTTAGTGCAGGGCTATGGGCTTTTGTTTAATTGCTCAAGAGCCTCACAAATAATTACCTCTCCAAACTCATAGTAAGTGCCATCGTCCTTCTTCACATCATGTTCCTTTAACCATGCGATGGCATCAGTATAGTTCATTCGTCGGAAAGGACGTTTAGGGGGCTGGAAGCCCTGCAAATAAGGACAGACATAAAAACGATTAAAAGCCTATCTTTAAGAAAGATATTTTTCTAATTGATCAGCAAGTCTATTTCCAAATTTATACACGACTCTTTCCAGCTCATGCATCAATAAATGGTTAATTAAAAGATCAAGCTCAGAGAAGTGCTGAAGCAAGAACCAAAACACAACTGTCTACCAAATGCAGTAAAGTTCACAGAACAGATGCTGAAAAAGATGGTAGGAGAAGGAGAAGAAAGTGTTTTCAAGGCTGGTGCCTTTTGTGAATCCATTGCATACATGGTCAGTTTAACACCTATTCTGCAGAGGCTCCACACACAGGGCCACAGGGTACTAAGCCACGACAGAACGTTCACACCTTCCTGCACACAGAACTGTTTCAGAACCTGCCACAGCTGTACATTTGTGAGACGTTCACAGGGTGGCTTGTGCCTGTGCTATTTCCTACCGCTTGCCCCCATCTCAGCCCAAATTTAAAACTGAACCCAGCAGTAAGAATGTAGTGTTTATCAGGAAAATAATTCATAACAGCTGGGGATGACAGAGCCTCTAAAGCCTATGAGAGAAGAGTTAGAGATGGAGATAACATGGTTTAAGAGACTGCTGACTTTCTTTGCAGAGACGCAGACAGTGCATCTCTAACAAAGCAAGACAGATTTACAGAGCTCCAATTTTCACAACAGAAAGTAAAACACTGGAGTTGTGCGATTGCTCCCTTGTGCTCAATCTGCAAGTACCTGCTGGTCAACACTACAAGCTCTGGGACAGGTTTTTGTTCCACTGGTACAGTGCACATTACAATAAAATCCTAGCACGTGCTGGCTCCTGGACCTTACCAGCCCACAATTTCTCACACCACAGGCCCCTGCTCCTGGAAGCATAGTTATCAACCTTGCAGTATCATCACTCTTTTGATATCTCTGAACACTGCTACAGAAGTAAGCAGAGCTCCCTGCCTTTTCCAAACGGACAGGCGTGCTGACCACGAAAGGCTAAAAGATCAGGCTTTCTTGTCTATTCATGACTGTTTTCCACGCTGCTGCCTACCGGGTTTATGTCAAACAGTAAGCTTGCTGCAGGTGATTTCAGAACTCTGTCCACTACATCACAAACCAAGTTCTCCAGACGGTCCAGCAGGTCCTCAAAACTTATAAAAGGACATTCAGCTTCAATGTGAGTGTATCTGAAACACAAGGCCATCCCATTACAAAACCACACATAAACAAGTTATCTTCAGCTATGGAAAAAAAGCCTCAAGAGAAAGAGCCTCCTTTGCCCCCTTTCCATTTCTCTCGCTTCTAAGTTGTAAAGGAAATAAGGCTGTAAAAAAAACTGTCAATGAAACAACAGTATCAACTGTTGCTTCTAAATAGCATTTTTAAGAAGTTTTTTCCAGCCACCCTGTTTAGCCCAAGTCTTCACTCAGTAGATGTCAACACATTATGACCTGCTGGTCATTCACTGAGACAAGATGCTGCCCCAAAATCACTTCTGATCAGTCCTTCCCTATTAGCCTAATGCCATCTTCTTACTGTACGTTCCATCATCCAACTGTCTGCTGCTTCCCTGCTTTATAAATTCACTTATACATGCATAATAAATATGTGCATTTTCTTCATACTCTGCCAAGTGTCTGCGTGTCCTGGATTGCTCAGCTCTGTATGACTGAGCAATACAAAAAACATCTCCTAATGCTGGAAGGCAGGTCTCCAGGTAGAGCTGGGATGATTGCGTCAAGAATGCCTCTTCACCAAAATAATCCAGCTTGAATAGGGTTGAGCCTCCTTCAACCTGTGTTTGGACTAACGTTGGTGGTGTCACCTGTTAAAGAACAGGACCGTCATTACTTCAGTGAAGAATTAAGTACAACGATGATAACGTGCAAGGGCAGTGATGTAAGACACATTCTTCCACAGCACCATCTAGCAGCTTTTGTATGTAAGCATACAAGTACTTCATTCTGATATCCTTCAGTAGCCTAAAAAGTAGCATGCAGGTTTTTCATGAATCATGCTGTAACACTTCTATGTAGACACTTCTGGGGCACATCTTTGGAGATCTCAGGCTATGCCTATAAAAGCAATCATAGTTTCCTAACAAACAGTTTTTCTTTTGCCTATTTTAGGTCAATCAGAAAGTCTATACTGTTCTTCTAAGAATAAGATGACTCTGAAGAAAGGCGATTAAAGAAGTCATTTGCAGACAAAGAAAAAGATACTTACTTCATAATATCCATTGGCAAAGAAGTGATCCCTGAAGGCTTGTACTACCATGGAGCGCACCTTGAAGATTTTGGACATATTCTCGCCTCGAATCATCATATGCCTGTTGTTAAGCTGCACATCAACCTCCGAATCCTCATTGAGCAGATTGTCAGCTCCTCCTGCTGGGGCTAGACCGATAAGCTCCCAGTAGTCACAGTTCAGCTCATGGCCTCCTGGAGCCTGCCAATTTGAAGAGCAGTAACAATTTTAGAAGTCCACTTTTTGCCACTTGGATGTCACCATGTGGCATCTTGACAGAGATGTTAATCCTTCCAGTTTAAACCAAAGATGCCAAAACCCTTCTAAATGCAGTCATTTTCAAAGCGGCTGGTTCATAACCCAGTTGTACCACTCTAGTCATACCACCTTGAAAAGCACCATTTGTAACCAACCCATCACGAGTCTTTCAGACTTAACTGCAGGATTGAGTGCTATTGCCAGATAATTAAAAGATAAACAGAACACATCTAGAACCTTAAGTGTAATGTATCATAGAGAACGGGGTGCTATCTTCAACTACTTAATGGGTGGTTATAAAGAAGATGGAGCCAGGCTCTTTTTGGATGTATCCAGCAAAAGGACAACAGTCACGAATTGCAGTAAGGTGCTTTCAATTGGATATAAAGAAAAAAAATCTTCACAACAAGGATGGTCAAACTCTAGAGCATGGGCCTAGAGAGACTGTGCAATCTCAATCCTTGGAGAGTTTCACAAACTCACTTAGAGCCTGTGTTAGGCCAGGTTGTCCTCTTTAAGCAGGAGTTGGGCCAGATGACCTTCAGAGGTCCCCCCTGCAACCAGAATCATTCTATGTTAGCTTACGCAGGCACAAATATCTTCCCATATGCCTTTAGGAACATCACACCACACACAGTGAAGAGTCCTCCCATATATTAGAAGACAGCGCCGATTCAAGATTGCAGTACAACATTTGAAATATTTGGTTCTTTGTACTAGTCGAGACACATTCTGGACAGCAAACTCCAAAAGAAGTTAAAAAAAAAAAAAAAAAGCTGCTTTGATCAGGACAGGGGAAGAATTAGCTCACTATGTATATGGGTACCTTTGAGTTTGCCTGTCAGAGACACCCGAGCAATCTTTCTGCACTAGGCAACATTTCACTGCTATGTGAGAGCAAGAAATTTCATACTAATTTCCCCCATTCTCGTCCCTACTACATAAGAAACAGAGGTCCCAGACCCAGGGCTGAGCCCTGTCCGGCTGCCTGGGCTACAGAACTGACCTCTGCACTTCTGGTGCCAAAAGTTCCCCTGTCTGAACCACAGGAGAGCATGCATTCATTCCCCAAAATGCACCCTTCCTCCATATTTTCAAGATATAAATGCAGTTTTACAAAAATCTAACGAACAGATTTTTGACTCACTGCAAACAACATACAAATCTGGTGTTTTTGTGCACTGAAAGCATTATACTCTTGTGATGAGACAAGAACACATAAGCAATGGACTCTAGTTAAACTGAGCTTGTCGCTCTAACCTTAAGTAGAGCTCTTGGGGATAGGACCTGAGTGGCAGGGAGAACTAGAAAAATTAAGCCTATCCAAGTCTCATTTGGAAGACCTGCCAGTAATGACCAACAGTACATGGCTTGCAAAACAATCATCTACAAAATACCACACAAGAGTTCCGCTTTGACCGCATATTATGTACTATGCAAAGCCACAGAGGGAACTACTTTGCTCAAATACTGTCTAATGCCTCTTGGGAACACTGTCTGAAACTGCACAACAATGCTCCAAGATGTGATTTTGTCCAAATATACTTTTCTCTTATCTTCTGAGAGTTAGTAAACTTACTCAAAAGAACTATAGACTATAGAGTGTCGATCCACAAGAAAGGGAAACTAACTCTCACTGCTATAGGTGATGACAGTTTTGAGCATATATCTAAAGGAAGAGGTAAGCTTACAGAACAGCAAGATTAAATGTTGAGATTTACAGAATAGATGTACATTACTGCTTTGCTTTCTCTTTCAGAAAAAAAATAGTGCCACAATTAGCTATCAAAAGTCCATGTCTTAAAGAAGACTACTTAAGATTTAATAAAACAAATGTGTCCTCAGCTTCCTTGCTGTTTCTGCATTATAACCTAGGTTTTGCAACACAGATGCACATTTACTTTTGTCTTTCAGTCACCTGTGTCAGTTAAGACAGAAGCCTTAAGGTAATTTTGACTAAACACCCTGATATAGGCCTATGTGTTCTGATGAGTATTTTGAGTCACTATCCCAGATAAGGGGTCCCAAAAGCTTCTCTGGTGCCTTGTTTGAATGCTTTTTATGGGTCATTCTTCACACATAGTTCCTTAACATGGCTTTAGCCAGATTCAAACAATTTCCTGAACAGTAACAGTCTGTAGATCGCAACTATGAGAGAGGTATGAAGCATAAGGACCATCATATTTTGAGGGTTAAAAATCACATCTGCCCAGTTGCTAATCTGAGACCACCATTAGGAACAGTGTTACAAAGCAAGTTAACAAATCGCCTTGCTCATACTCCTGCACTGGAGGACAAATGAATATCCTTACAACAAACAACATATTGAGATGTGCTTGTAGGCTCTTCACCAAGAGCTAAGCCCAAGTTCTTGATCTCATAAAATAAAAACTGAATACACCTTATTCACTAACCTTTCCTAGGAAAAATTAAACAATGCCATTTGTTTAATATAATTTTCCATTGATATACATCCTGTAGATATTTTATAGTTATAGAGTATCAGTGGAAAATTGTTTCAGGCGAAAGGTAAAGTGGAACAGTTGCTTGGTTCACACCCAATCACACACACACTGAACTGCAGGTGTCAGCAGCAGCTTTAGGAGGTTTGGGTTTTTGGTGTGTTTTTTTGGCTTTGTTTTTTCAACAAATTCCCACTGAACTCAACCAATAATTATGTCCACCTCTGCTTCTAATCCCATCAGGAAGATGATAAACTGTTACAGAGCAGAAGAACCCAAACACACAGCCTTATCTAACACCCATACCTGCTTGCCTTCAGGAACAAGGTTCAGCATCCCATACACTGCAACACTGCTCTCTGTAGAGAGAAGTAGCCCATTGTAACACTGACACTACAGACAGAAAAAGAAACAAAGACACAGTTGAGATAATTTTTTACTTTTCCTCCGCAATCTAACTGAATCATGGACAAGATTAAGTCATAATCACTTCTATTTAGTTTTCACACTGACAAAAAAAACTCTAGTGGTAGGAGACAGAATTTAACAACAGTAAGATTTAATCAGTAAGTTTAGGACAGTTTCCAATGGTCTATATAAAAGAAAAACAGATGAGGTATGAACTGTTCATGTATTTAAAAACAGAACAGAATTAAATCATGGCAACTCACCAGTTCATCTGAAAGGACACACTGTAGAAATCCTGTGCCGTCTCTCAAAACAACAAACATCAAATTTTTTCCTAGTTAAAAACAGAACAAATGCAGAGAGCCTCAGATTTATTCACTGATCCATTGAACAGACTCACTCCAAGAAACATCACTTACTGGCATACATCTTACTATCAAAGGACTGTGATCATGTTAAAACAAACAAAAAAGATGCTCTAGGTAAACACTGAAGCGTTAACTCAGTTATAGGAGCCTTTCACCGAATCACAGAATGGCCAAGGTGGGCAGGGGCCTCTGGAGATCGTCTAGTCCAACCTCCCTGCTCCAGCAGGGTCACCTAGAGCATATTGCCCAGGATCACGTCCAGGCGGGTTGTGAATATCTCCAGCCAAGGAGACTCCACTACCTCTCTGGGCAACCTGTTCCAATGCTCTGTCACCCTCACAGGAAAGAATTTTTTTCTCGGGTTTAGATGGAACTTGCTGTGGTTCAGGTTCAGTTTCTGCCCATTGCCTCTTGTCCTGCTGCTGGGCACCATGGAGAAGAGACTGGCCTCATCCTCTTGACAACCCCCCCCTTCAGATACTTGTACACGTTGGTCAGATCACCTCTCAGTCTTCTAAGAGGTGATCTTCTTTCACAAAACTGCATTTTATATAACTTGAGCTAAAACAAGCTTCAGCTAAAACAAGCTTCAAACAAACATCAAGACTAAAGCCTGCTCCAGCCCCAACGGGGTTGGGATTGCACTGCCATACCATGACCTCAGCAAATGCGCTCAGGTCCAGAGGGACTACAAGTGTGTTTGACAGAACTGATGAATGCACAGGCCCAAGTCACCGCTCACATGGGGAAAGTGATGTCACCCTGGTTATCCAATCTTCACAAAAGCATCCAATTAAAAAAAAATCTTTTTTCTAGGAACCAGAATCATCAAAAGAAGCAGAACCAAAGATAATTAACTGGTCAGGAGGAATCAAACAGCATTTATGCTAAGTTTCCAGATTTTGATAGCTACTGAATTTTTCCATCTTTTTGCATAGCTTTGATAACCTTTAAGTGCTTGTGGTTTACCTTGCCTACGTAATCTGTGAATCCAACCAAAAATCTTCACTCTTTGGCCTCTGTAAGCCTCCAGAGCACCAATCTTTACCTGCAGAGCAAGGAATAAAAACAAACAGTCACCTGGAGAAGAGTAAATCACCATTTAGATGGCGTTTTCCACATAATTACTTAGAATACATATAGATATGACATTCCCCTCCCCAAGACATCTCCTCGCAGCACTTGAAGGGAAGTTCCATTCAAGGTATGAGCTCAGCTGGCAACTCTAAACAGCTGTTTAGGAAGGAAAGAGTATTCTATCCAGTTACATCAAAGGCAGCACGTTTGGGCAATACTTGCAGACTTCACATTGAGCCTATTCTATTCAGCAGGCTTACTCTGCCATGAAGAGACTAGAGACTGTAAAGTCCTCGATCAGTCAAGAAGCTCACTTCGCCTTTGGCCAAACAGAGAAGTCAAAACACTTTAACAGCTCACACCTGAAGACCAGAGTGTTCAGGTACTACTGGAACTCCAAGATACATTAAGTCACCAGATAACTTAGAAAGGATTCCCAAGAAACATTTTCCAGGGCTCTGAAGCGTGAGTGGACTTCCCTGGAAGAATCTCTAAAAACATTCAATAGTCAAGTTCAGTTAGCAGTTCAAGAAGCAGAGGACGTCAAATCTGGATCTGACATAGGTACATCTACACACGTAGCTGAGGTACTAACACTGCTATGGTCAGAACAATTAATCCAACAGGCACCTTTGAAAGACCAGGCCTTACTAAGACTGCTGGATTCTGGCAGTCTAGAAGAGCTGGCAACTGATTTCAGCACAGCTGGCTACAGCTGCCCCTTTCACAAACAGCAGCCATGAGAGCGCAAGGCTCAAACCTTCCACACATGCTGCACCGAGCCTGTCCAGAAACATCACTCAGCAGCACATGTAATATCTGCTTACTAAAATTAAGGCCTGCACAGCGCCACCAAATCCAGCAGGACTGTAGAAATAACCACATAAGAACTGTACGCCATATCTCAACAACTTATGTTCTCTAGCTAGCAGTGTTTCTGCACTCTCTACTACATCAATGATCAACTAATGGGAGCAAAACTAATTAACTTTTTCAAACAGAAGCATGGTCTCTACCAGTAGACAGATATGGACACAAAAACCTGAGGCACGAACCGATGAAGCTCAGGCAGCCGTGAAAAAGATGAAAGCCATATACTAGAAGACGCAGATAACCAGAAAAACAAAATTACACTTATGGTTAGCAACAAGATAGCAGCCTTCCACAGCTGCCAGCACCACAAAGCAGGGTCAGAACCAATGTCTGTGCAAACAAAAGGCTGTAACTAAGGCCACGTATCAAGTACACTGGATCTTACTCACACATTTTGGCTCTGGAAGACTAGGATCATTCTTGATAATAACTTTCTTAGCTTCCTCTAGGTTCTTCTCCCTTCTCAAGAGATCTTCTACCTGGTTAAAAAGAAAAAAAAAAAAAGGGAAAAAAATTAAACAACTGTTGCCAGGCTTTATAAGATTCTCACTCTTCGCAGTTACTGGAGACTATAACGTACGCTTACAGACAACACGCATGCTGAAAAGCCTTGACATTAACCCTACTAGGGCCTAACCTAGTAGGGTAATCGTCTCATCAAGTCCACGATGAGGAACTATACACAGATGCATTCCACGTTTTTTTAGAAAGTCTAAAGGCAATAGATTGCAATCATGCAAAACTCATCCAGTTTCAGTCATTTGCTTATCCTAATCTAAAAAAAAAAAAAAAAAAAAAAAAAAAGAAATTTAAAAAAACCAACAAAAAAAAAAAAAAAAAAAAGCAAGTTGTAAATAACCTACATAGAAAAAAGAATGATAGAGGGGAGGAACAAACTAAATGTTTTCTTTGGCAGGTAGGACTGTTTAATGTTTTTGGGAAACAAAGACGGCACGCTACTTCCAACTCGGCATCATCTGCAACCTACCTCTTTCTTCTCCTTAGCTTCATTCTTCATTTGTTCCTTCTGCCACAGTTTTTTGGTGTTCTTCATCTGTGACTTTGAAATAATGCTCCATCTCTAAACGAATCCAGAGAGACAGCAGAAAATAACAAATTATGCTTGTGTCCCTTCACACAGAGGAGCATTAAAACAACAATTTCTACTTGAAAGCTCTGTTACAGTACCTCATTTTCTTTTTGCGAATCCACATAAATAGTAGGAAACGGTTCCTTTCCTGCTGTCATTAAAGCCTAAGGGTGGGGGGGAGGAGGGAGGAGAGAGAAGGTGACACAGTGAATAGCACTGTAAGTGAACTAAAGCCATGCTGAAATAGAGCAGACTAAGTCACGAGAGACAGAGAAGATAATCTACTTCTGCTCCTTCTGGCCAGAATTCAGGGGTAGGGGGAAAAAAGCTATAAGATTTACACCTAGGAGTACATTACATACACAAGGCCAGCCACTTGACCTAAGTGCAACTGAACTGTAACTGAAAAGAAATAGCATATATGTTTTCTGCAGTTACCTTTAAAACAGTTTTGAATGGTTTCTTTTGTGTCCCATCACCAGCGGAATCACTGCCCTCTCGTTCAGAGACATACAGCTCTTCTGTAACACAGGACAAATACAGACGGCTGCTTTAAAAAGTACTATGACTACATTCAGGAAGAAACTGGATGCACACAATGATTTAAAGTCTTCAAGATGATCAGCAGTGATAAACCTTCAAAAACAACTGACAGTATAAGACTTGGTTAACATTTCCCATTTTAAAAAAATCAGCCCATGCAGTAAGTGAATTATGTCAGAGTTTAAGAGACTTCCAAGACACTGAACTCTGAAAAGTTACTGGCTAACATCAGAAACCAAAAGTGAAAGAGCTTCTTATAAAAATAACTTTTTCCTCGGTCAGCAGGAGGACGACAAGTTGAGAGAAGTCAGACAGCTCAGCTAAACGTCCAGCTGACTCATAACCAAGAAACGAATAATGAGTTACAGGAACTGAACATAACTCCTCCTTCTTCCACACCCTAACTACAAAGAAAAAACCAGAGCACAAGATCTACTTGCTCCAGGACCCACAAAGCACTTCCACGATCCCCTGCTCAGGTCTGGGCAGGTGAACCTTTCCGTTAGAAACATTCTCCTCAAACGGATGGAAACGCAAGACACACTTATAAGAAGCTGCCATAACAAGTGACATCAGTGTTGTGTTTCCTACTAGCAAAATCTACCCCATTGAGTGAAAAACCGAAACTAATCTTAGCTTTTAACAGGTACATTCTCGGGAAATGCCTATCCTAGGCGGACACAGAACCTAAAACAGGAAAAGGCAAGGAATTTCAGGGCAGCAGGTTGCGCAGACGGTACCTGAACCGGATCAAGGGCACGAGC